TGGTAGAGCGCTAGCCTTGAGCTGAAGAGCTGAGGGACAGCGCCTAGGCCCAGAGTTCAGGCCCCATGACTGGACCAAAAAAAAAAAAAAAAGAAAATTTTATAATTTTTCCTAGGTGAGTCTAAGCTGAAGTCAAGTTTGGGAGTCAGTGATCTAAAAGAAAAGAATAGATTCAGATTAGGACTTTCAGAAAGGTAGAAGACTATCTGTTCTTATGCAAATTATATAGCTTTTAAGTTTAAAAATTGTACACTTAAAGCAATATGATACTTGAATGGACATGTATCATAGTTTTTCTTTAGGCATCAGGCCTTAAAATGCAAATATATAATGTTAAAGAACTGTTATTTTACACAGTAACTTAAAGTTGAATTAGTGCTCTAAGCCATAGTGCCACTTCTGGCTTTTTCTGAGTAGTGAATTGGAGAGAAGAGTCTCCTCTTTCATCTCTTTTAACTCCTCACAAGATTAAGTAATTTCAAATGGGTTGCTTTCTGTGTGTGTGTGCGTGCGTGCATGCATGCCTGTCTGTCTGTCTGTGTCTGTGTTTCCAATCGTGGGTCTTGAACTCAAAGCCTAGGTACTGTCTCTGAGCTTTTGTGCTCAAAGCTAGAGCTCTACCACTTTGAGCCACAGGCCCACTTCTAGCTTTCTGGTGATTAATTGGAAATAAGAATCTCACAGACTTTCCTGTGCAGGCGGGCTTTGAACTGCAAACTTCAAATCTCAGCCTCCTGCGTAGCTCGGATTATAGGCATGAGCGACCAGCACCCCACTTGCTGTCTTGTTTTTAAGCTTTATAAACAAAAGAATTGCTCAACTTTGAAATAATGATTTGTATAACATACAGTCTCTCTCCATATTTATTGTTTCTAACAGAGACTAAATATTAAATTTGGTCCTTTTCCTGTTAGTGTATGATGTTGTGTCTTCATTTTCATTGCTAGCTCTCATTCCCAATTTTTTTTTCTTGAAGTACCTCAGTAAACTTACTCAATTCCAACTTTTTAAACTAAATTTGATGTCCATTTTTTAAACGAGATAATATGTATCTTAAAAAGTAAATTAGTTAAAAGTCTTTATTCTTACAGATAAAGATTGAAGAACAGTGATTTATTTGCTATAACAGCACTAGGATGAGGATGTGAACACTGAAGGCTATTGTATCATAAGGCAATTAGCTAGATAACTTCTATCTGCTGCTAGCATAAAAGTATTGGGATGCCTTTTTTTTTGTAATTTGACTATACTGTGTACCTTTCAGTTCTGGAATTTGTGTGGAAATGCTCTGACCCCAAAACGTGGTATCTTTGGTAAAACGGGTGACCTTCAGACAATCTTGTGCCTAGCCTGTGCGAGGGATGAATTAACATATTCTGGTGCACTCAGTGGAGATATATATGTTTGGAAAGGAATTAATCTTATACGAACAATACAAGGAGCTCATACTGTAAGTATTTTGATACTACAAACATTTACACTTTAACTATTTAACCTTCTTAGAACAACAGAATAACATTGTTTCTAATCAGTTAAAATTCTTGAATAATGCTATTCTAATGGAATTAATTTGTTTTTAAGGTTTCAATGAAGAGATATACAGTTAGACTCATGGCTAGTTATTAAATTAGTATAATTAGTATCTTATTTAAAACCATTGCTCTAGCAGTGTATTTCTAGAAAGTGTTAAAGAAAAGCTTGTTGACTTCAATTCTAGATTAACTATAATAAAATAAAGCTAGAAATTTTAAGGCTAACACTACTGGAAATTGAGTACATATCTAGAAAAAAATGATTCATTAAGTCAATGGTAAAGTGATTTAAGTTTTGTACTTTATGACATGTTCACATAAATAAGTTACCATATCAGAAAAAAATAAAACCAATTAAAATGAACAAGTATATTTTGATTTGAGCTTTTTGACATTTGTGTCCCTTCTTACAAAGTGAAGGGAGCTAGCTATACGTAGCATAGACCTGTCATGTTGTTAGCCGTAAGAATAGTAGAATATCCTGAGTAAACATAAGAAACACTTAGTAAAGACTGGCTCTGAGCAAGATGCCTAAAGAACCAAAACATCAGATTTTTCCACAAAAGTTGTGGTATTTTGCATAGTTGGCATCATTGTGTAAAAATACTAGTTCCGCCGGGTGCTGGTGGCTCACGCCTGTAATCCTAGCTACTCAGGAGGCTGAGATCTGAGGATCGCGGTTCAAAGCCAGCCCGGGCAGGAGAGACTGTGAGACTCCTATCTCCAATAAACCATCATAAAACCGGAAGTGGCGCTGTAGCTCAAGTGGTAGAGAGCTCGCCTTGAGCTGAAGAGCTTAGGGACAGCGCCCAGGCCCAGAGTTCAAGCCCCACGACCGACAAAAAAATAAAAATAAAAAAATACTAGTTCCATTTCATATTCATCCATACAGAATATACTCATGCTTTATAAATTCCTGCTTATCTCTGGATAAAGATGGTAACTTTTAAAATTTTGTTTCCTGTCACTTGAGAAATTTCATATATTTCACCGTTTCTTTCCCTTTTCTATTAATTAACTTTCCTTATCATTTGCTCTTTTGTTTGCTTGTTGTATTATGTTGGGGTTTTTTTGTTTTTATTTTACTTTTTTTCTTTAATGGTGCTGGGGCTGAACCCAGGGTCTTAGAAATCCTAGTTATGCACTTTAATCACTGAGCTACATTTCAGGCCTTTTTATTTCTTTTATTTATCTGTATATTAGTGATAATTAACTTTTGGTTCATACAAATTAAAAGTAGTTTCCTGTTTGTCTTTGTTTATGTTTTCTTTCCTCATATAAAAATTAATTTTTTTATTTTGTATGTAGAATTTTCCTCTATAATTCAATTTTATGTGTACTGTAAAATTTAACTTTATTCTCTGGTATGTTAGGTCTATGTCATTACATACCATCTTAACTATATACTAAGGTCTCAAAGAACTTTATATCTAGATTTTCTTTTCTATGTTCTGAATTTTTTGTTTATTCCCATATCATACACAAAAATATTGCTAAGTAGACTTTAAGTTTCATATAACAGATGTTCTTCAGAAGTTTATATGGTTAAATTTCTTTGTTTCTTCATCTAGGCAGGAATTTTTACCATGAATGCCTGTGAAGAAGGATTTGCTACTGGTGGCAGAGATGGCTGTATTCGTCTGTGGGATTTAACTTTTAAACCAATTACTGTGATTGATCTCAGGGAAACTGAACAGGGATACAAAGGTAATAATGAAATAAATGTTTTATTACTAGGCAAATTCTCAGTGAATCCGTGACTGTTATTTCAGTAAACGTAAATGTTTTGTAAGTATATATGAGTTTGATTTACCTCTTCACACTGTATACATTTAACTGAAATCTATTGAGGGGAACTTTTACTTAAATAGAGAGAATTTGGGCTCACTATGGCCTTACAAAAGCTTAAATGGAATATATGGCTATAATAATGAAGTCTACAGATATGTGATAGGCATTTATTCTGGTAACCTTGGGTTTTGAAAATATTAATTAGAATGTTAAGTGTAAATTGTGTGTAGGAATACAGATCTGTGATCCCAATTAATGGAGAGTCCATTGTAGTTTGAGGCTGACCTCAGGCAAAAATGAGAAATCTTACCTAAATAATACTAAGGGGAAAAGGGGCTGAGAGTGTTATTTTAGTAACCTTGGATTTTTGAAATATTTTACTATTAGAATGCTAAATTTGCTGGGCTCTGGTAGCTCTCACCTGTAATCCTAGCTACTCAGGAGGCTGAAATCTGAGGATCACAGTTCCAAACCAGCCTAGGCTGGAAAATCCATGAGACTCTTGTCTCCAATTAACCACCAGAAACTGGAAGTGGCACTGTGGCTCAAAGTGGTAGAGCTCTAGCCTTGAGTAAAAAAAGTTCATGGATAATGCCTAGGCCTGGAGTTCAAGCCCCATGACCGACAAAAAAAAAAAAAAGCTAAATTTGGCTATTTACCAAATAAGCTGTTTTAAAGTATGTTTGGATTGGGGAGCATTTGCAGAAGATGATTTCAGTATTTTTCCTTCATCACAATTTGTAAATTTGGCTGGTTCATGCTGTAGAACAACTGCCTAGCAAGTACTAGGTCTAAGTTCAAACTCCAGTACTATGGATAAATCATATATGGAACAGAATCTTTCATGCAAGCTTTAACATATTAATTGCTAATGTGGCATTGTATTACAAGACTAAGATTAGAAGTTAGATAGGCCTGTGTTTAAATCATGCACCAGTCACTTGGCAGATATTTAACCCTGAGTTAATCCTTTAACATCTTTTGTACACTGAGGAAATAAGAATAACTACTTCACAATACTGAGTATTTGTGAAATACTTTAGAAGAATATCTGCAACATATGTAGCTTGTGAATGCTGACTGTTGTATTTTGTTAATGTGGCTAGTATTATTATAATTCTGAAGCTTACATAATTATTTTATTGAATTTACAACATTCACAAGAATATTATAAGGTATACAGTATTTTACACCGACCACATTGTACAGATGAGAAACTGAAAAAACACATTTTTCTAAGGTTACAGGAGTGAAGTATGAGGAAGTAAGAGACTTGGTATTTAGCACATTGACAAGTGAAACATAGGCAAGAGATTACTACGAACATATGAAATCAAGATTTTTACAAAAGAAAAGCAATATAACTTATATATATATATATATTTGTATTATTTTTCTTTTGTAATAACCTGACTTTATATGTTTATACCTTTATATGGTAGTTCCTGAGTAATTACTTAATGATATAGACCATCGTGCTGTAAGACTTCAGCTAGTATCATCAGACTCTTAAAATTGTCTAACAAGGTGAAAGAAAATAGAATGTATGTTTTAAAAGGATGGTAGAAAATACATAAAAAGTACATAAAAATAGAAGTATTCCATACAGAAAACAATATGGGTCATTGAAGAAACTGAGATTATGAATCAAAGACTTGGATTATTTTCTTCTATCTCTGTCCATGATACAAAAGGTACAAAAATTAAGCCAGGTGCTGGTGGCTCATGCTTGTAATTCTAGATATTCAGGAAGCTAAGAGTCTCAACTCAAAGACAGCCCAGCTAGAAAAGTCCATGAGACTTTTATTTCCAAATAACCACCCCATAAAAACTGGAAGTGGAGCTGTGAATCTAGTGGTAGAACTCTAGCCTTGAGCAAAAATGTTCAGGGACATACCCATTTCCTGAATTCAAGCCCCAGGAGACAGACAGACAGACAGACACACAGACACACACAGACACACACAGACAGACAGACACACACAGACAGACACACACAGACACACACACAGACACACACACACACACACACACAGACACACACACACACACACACACACACACACTGATTTCCAATGAAGAAGATTGGCATTGCCTTATCAGAGGACTGATTCTAAGCACAATATTAATATTGATATTAAATGCACTTTTTATAGGTTTGTCTGTGAGAAGTGTTTGCTGGAGAGGTGACCACATTTTAGTTGGAACACAGGACAGTGAAATTTTTGAAATTGTGGTACATGAAAGAAACAAACCTTTCTTAATTATGCAAGGGCATTGTGAAGGTGAACTTTGGGCACTTGCTATTCATCCCACTAAACCTTTGGCTGTGACCGGAAGTGATGATCGTTCAGTCAGGTAATCAACTATAATTTACTTCATAAAGTAATTGAATAGGCTGAGATTTGTCCTTAGATACACTTAAAACTGTAAAAATATTTACATATAATTATGCTGTAGCTGATAATATATCAAATGAACATTAAAAAGTACTTTAAAATTAATAGAATTGAGCTGGGAATGTGGCTTAGTGGTAGAGTACTTGCCTAGCATGCATGAAGCCCTGGATTCACATAAACAGAAAAAGCTGGAAGTGGTATTGTGGTTCAAGTGGTAGAGTGCTAGCCTTGAGCAAAAGGAAGCTCAGGGACAGTGCTTAGGCCCTGAGTTCAATTAAAGAATTGCTGGGCACTGGTGGCTCACTCCTATAATCCTAGCCACTCAGGAGGCTGAGATCTAAGGATCATGATTTGAAGCCAGTCCTGGCAGGAAAGTTCAAGAGACTTCTATCTTCAGTTAACCACCAAAAAACCAGAAGGGGAGATTTGGCTCAAGTGGTAGAGCACCAAGATAGAGCAAAAATGTTCAGAGAAAATGCCTTAACTCTGAGTTAAAAAAAAGATTATTATTTTAAACAAAATATTTAAATAAAAAAATTTAAGGCATACTGTTAACTGTTCTTCTCTTATTATAAATTAAATGTTTCAGGATTTGGAGCCTAGTAGATCATGCATTAATAGCAAGGTGTAATATGGAAGAACCAATTCGTTGTGCAGCTATAAATGTAGATGGAATCCATCTTGCCCTTGGAATGAAGGATGGCTCATTCACTGTACTTAGAGTAAGGTATGCTACAGGGTAGAAACAGAAGCAGTAATTTTCTTTTTCTTTTAAATATGTTTTTATTGTAAAAATACTGTACAGAGGGGTTACAATTACATGAGTAAGGTAATGAGTACATTTCCTATCGAGCATTGTTGCTTCCTCCTTTGTTTATCCCCTACCATCCCTTCCTTCCCCACTTCCTCAACTACTCCCCCCCAAGCAGTAATTTTCTGGTATGCATTTAAATTACAGAATCTTCATTGGTTTTACCCATTCATCATTTTTGCCCACTTTATAGTAATATGTTTCACATATTTGTTTCATTAAATATTTACAAAGTTTTATTAGAAAACTAAACTCAGAAATTTTGGTTTGGGAGGGGGGTTAAAAGTGCTTCATAGACAACTAGCTAAACTTTTGAGCTATACATTTGGGTCATGACTTTTCTGTCCTGCCACTAAAACTGAGGCTATGAAAAATGAGTGGATAGTATTTTGTTGTTGATTATATATTAACTCATTGAAAAAAAATGCTTGCATTAGAGATAGGAGTCTCCTCCTGCTTGAGCTGGAGGCTGGTTTTAAACCACAATCCTTAGATCTCAGCCTCTTGAGTAGCTAGGATTACAAGCAAGAGCTACCAAATCCAGCTCCTTCTCTCCACTTTAGACATAATCAGCTGCTCAGGTTTTATGCTCACATTGAATTGTATCCTTCCTTGGCTCTTTTGCATCCTTTTTTTTTTTGGCCAGTCCTGAGGCTTGAATTCAGGGCCTGGGCACTGTCACTGCTTTTGCTCAAGGCTAACACTCTTAACACTTGAGCCAGAGTGCTACTTCCAACTTTTTCTGATTATGTGTGTTACTAAGGAATCAAATCCAGGCTTCATGCATGCTAGGCAAGTGCATAACCATTAAGCCACGTTCCCAGCTGTTCCTTCTCACCTTTAGTCTAATCTTATCTTCTTTCAGTATTTTTCTTCTTTTTATCTTGTATTTTTTTTCTTTAATGTACTGGAATTTGAACTTGGCCCTAACTTTACTGGTTGGCATGTTCTGTTAAGCTGTGTATGGTGGTACATGTCTGTAATGTTAGTACTGGGGAGACTGAGACAAGAGGATATAGAATTTGAAGCCAGATATGGATTCATAATAAGGTCAAGACAACCAGCCTGAAGTACATAATGCAATCTTGTCTCGAAAAAATAAAAAGTCAAAGAGGTTGAAATAGAAAAATAACTAGTGAGGAAAAAAGAATAAAAATAATTAGTGCTAAGTACATAAAGATATATATTCAAGCCGGGTGCTGGTAGCTCACGCCTGTAATCCTAGCTACTCAGGAGGCTGAGATCTGAGGATCACGGTTCAAAGCCAGCCCGGGCAGGGGAGACCGTGAGACTCCTATCTCCAATAAACCACCAGAAAACTGGAAGTGGCGCTGTAGCTCAAGTGGTAGAGCACTCGCCTTGAGCTGAAGAGCTGAGGGACAGCGCCCAGGCCCAGAGTTCAAGCCCCACGACGGACAAAAAAAAAAAAAAATACATCTACTTTTCTTCTATGAGATCTATGAAATGTATATTTTGATATTTTTAAAACTCCCTAAGTAGAATTTATGTGCCAATTATAATTTGGTGGTTCTTTGATTTGTTTGTCTTTTATTCCCTCCTGGACTTTTGGATATTATCCAGCGCTTGGTTTCAGTTGGACTGGATTCAAAGAATACAGTTTGTGTTTGGGACTGGAAAAGGGGGAAAATGTTGTCTATGGCTCCTGGTCACACAGATAGGGTAAGTATCCTCTTTGGGATGTCTAATGAATATTGGACAAGAAAAGGCTAGAAGAAAGTTCAGGATACTGTGCTCTTCAGTGTCTTGTTTTTCCAGATATATCATAGTTAATTAAAATTTTACAATTTGTAAAAGATTATACCATTTTTGGGAAAGAGACAATTAGAGAACAATGTAGAATTCCTACTAATATTATGGAATTCTTTTACAAGCAATGAAAAGTTCTAAAACTGTAGTCATGCTTTTACAATTCAATGAGCATACTAAGAAACACTGAAATTTCAGAAGTTTTAGAGTATGTGAATCATATCTCAATGAAGCTGTGCAGTTATAAGTGCCTATAAAATCTTAGTATATATTATAGGACTCAGAAATATGATTCAGTGTGTAATTGTTAGCGTAAAACTTTTAACTCTGTTTGCGTTGGGGAAAACTGCAAGTTTTTTTCTTAGATTTTTTGAAATATAATTGATTTATAAAGGACTATTTAATATTTGATTCATACCATTTGATGTTTGGATGTATACATTCAAATATCAGTTTTTAAATTAAATGGTTTGTGTCTAAGATTTTTGCTTCACCACTAATATGTTGCATATGTACCAGTTAAGGTGAACCAATGTTTACCTTATATGCCTTGTGAGAATTTAAAATTATTTATTACTGTGGGCTAGAGATGTTATTATGTGGTGGAGTGTTTGTCTAGTATGTACAAGGCCCTGTGTTCAATCCCCAGAACTGAAAAATAAATATTAAATAAAAATTTCACAGTAAGTAAAAAAATAAATAAACAAATTAAGGTATAATTATAAACTTTTAGAGGCCTAACATTTTTTTCTCTAGAAGCATGTAAAAATACATATTCCTTATTCTAATTCCTAGACTATTAATGAAAATAGTTCATAAAAACTTAATTAAAAAATAATTCTTCCATAGCTTGTGCCACTTTTACAAACACAGGAAAACATATATCTTTATTCATTTATTTTTGTCGGTCGTGGGGCTTGAACTCTGGGCCTGGGCACTGTCCCTCAGCTCTTCAGCTCAAGGCGAGCGCTCTACCACTTGAGCTACAGCGCCACT